GATTCTTCCTGTCTTTGTGTTCTTTGTCTCCCATCACTGATGTGACAAGCATGGTTTTTTCTTTTTCTTTTTCTTTTTCTTTTTCTTTTCTTCCTTCCTCCCATCCTTCCTTCCTTCCTTCCTTCCTTCCTTCCTTCCTTCCTTCCTTCCTTCCTTCCTTCCTTCCTTCTTTCCTTCCTTCCTTCCTTCCTTCCTTCCTTCCTCTTTGATTTTTGAGACAGGGTTTCTGTCTGTGTAACCCTAGCTATCCTGGGACTCACTTTGTAGACAAGGCTGACCTCAGACCCACAGAGATCCACTTGCCTCTGCTTCCCAAGTACTGGAATAAAAGGCATGAGCCATTACCATCTGACATAGGCATGGTTTTTTATGCATGGATTTTAGGGGATCAAATTCAGATCCTTAAACTTACATGATGAGTACCTCATACACTGAGTTTTTTCACCTAGCCTGGTGTTACATTTTAAAAGTATAAAAAGGAGAAATGTAGAGTTCAATAAAAATAATAATAAAACAAAACAAAACAAAACGTATAAAAGGGGTTTTGAATTTGGGTGAGCTCATTAAGTTGCCAACAGTTAGGACACATTAATTCCTTCCTGTTTTCATGTATTCTGTGCTCTTTGGTTGGGAGGGCAGAAAGGGAGCTTCCACACAATGTCCTTACACTGCTGTGACTTGACTCCTGGTTTGGCCCTGCCGTGATCAGAATGAGTATTAGTTCTAGAAGACACATGTGCTGTGGGGGAAATCATAGGCAAGAATCTGAACACCAACCAGATTGCTGGAGTTCCGAGCCTCCTGTGGTGAGAGCTGGAAACTGGATTTCAGTTTTCTGCAAGAACAGCAAACAGGCCCTGTGTGGTGGCCCATGTCTTTCATCCCAGCACATGGGAGGTAGACTTGGGTGTATTTCTGTGAGTTCAATGCCAGCCTGCTGGTGTACATAGTGAGGTTGTGGCCAGCCTGGACTACATAGTGAAATCTTGTCTAAAATAAATAAATAAATAAACCAGCCCCAAGATACCAAACAACAACAACAACAACAAAAAAGCAATTGCTCTTACCCACTGAACCATCTCTCCATTCCCTTCACCTTTATATTTTGAAACAGTGTCTCTCACTCAATCAGAGACTTACTGATTAGGTTAGGCTGATGATTAGGTTAATGATCCTCAGAGAACTGCTTGTCTTCACCAGGCTGGGGTTACAGGCACAGATAAATGTGAATTTTTGTGTATGTTCTGAGGATTTGAACTCGTATCCTGGTGCTTGCATGGAAGTCAGTTTGTTGACTGAGCCATCCCTCAAGCTCCTTCCTTTTTGGGTAGAGTCTCATGTATCTGTGTTGACTTCAGACTTACTATATAGCAGAGGGTGACCTTGAACTCATGATCCTTTACCTCCCAAGGAATTACAGGTTTGTTCCACCATGCCAGGTTATATCTAGTACTTGGGATCAAATCCAGGGCCTTGGGCATAATAGGCAAGCACTTTGCTAATTGAATCATATCCCCAGTTCCAACTAGATAAATTAAATCTCCCACTATTCACTTAACAGATGATGTTTTTGTAGTCATAGAAGATGGTATGTGGGGCGGGAGATGATCCAACTGTTAAGAGCATTTGTCACACTTCCAGAGTACTCAGGTTCAGTACTTCCAGCACCCATATGGTGGCTCAAAACTACCTGTGGCTCTAATCCCAGGGGATTGGATACTTGCTTCTGATTTCCTAGGTCATCAGGCATGCTCGTGGTGGACATATATACATATGACGTAAACCACTCACACACATGCAATGAAAAAAAACCTAAAAAATTAAAATTGCCATTGTAAAGCTACTGTCATTGAAACTCAAGTCTTAACACTTATAAAATATGGATAGCAGTATGACTGTATGTGACATTGCCTAGTGAACTGAAAAACCTGACAGAAATGTATGAGAATTAAGTGGAATTTCAGCCCTAGTTCATCTGTATACATCTCGGGTTTCCATTGTGCCTTTAATCCAAGATCATTTCCATTTCTTTGTGTAGGGCTTTGCCATCCCAGAGATTCCAGAGGTAAGTTACATGTGCACTTTTAGTCAAGCCCACTTCCTCTGCAAACATATTGCTCTTATGAAAGAGGTGTACCTAGTCCACATGATATTCAGACATTGGACCTTAAGTTGAGTCTACTGGCTCCATAGTTGTCATTCACATCATATGGTAGGAGATACAACTGTGTCCTAACAGCCTTGTCTGCCACTCATGTTGACATCACAGAGGAATTTGGGAACAAAGGCAAGGCCTGTTGAAGCCATGTTTGCCACACTTGGTCTGGCCAGAGCCTTGGGATGGGGGTTCTGCCACAGCACTCTTTTCTCTGAGTTCCACCTTCTGCTCCTCCAGGAACTGCCACAGGGCTTAGGACTTGAACACAGTGCCTGGCCTGTAGCTTTCCTGTGAAGTATTGTGGAAACCTCCGTGCCCCCCACAATGCTCACAACCTGCATTACTATTAATTCAGATGCTGACAAGTTCTGCTAACATATACAGCAGTTAAAGGGCCAGTTGGACCATAGCTGTGGTATCCTGTGAACAGCCTGATGTTTGAATGTGGATACACACTTGTTTGGGTTGTTGTGTAGCAATTTTCTAAGTAATTCCATCCTGGAAGAAAATGCCTGAAAACTCAGGATATCCTAAAGAGAATCTGGAAAACACTCAGGGACTTCTAAAGGGAGGCTCATTAAGACTCAGGAAGTAAACAACTCAAAAGGCTCATTTAGTCCCTGAAGCTGATCAGATGTACAATCCCTCACCTCTCAAACTTTATAAGCTCTAAGAATTGCTGAGGAGACAAGACTCTATGCCCTATTATAGTGCCTGAAAAATGTACAGAGGATTGCAGGGTTCAAGCATTTTCTTTTTTCCAAGTCAACGTTCATGTTCAGATGGATGGGCAGGTTTCAGGTGATATCTTTGAGCTATCCGTGCTCCCATAAGGAACTTCTCACCGCCACTTCTATGAGTAATCCCCAAACCAGTGAGTTTGGCAAGTTGGACTTTGGTGTAATTGATTTTTTTTTGGTCTGTCTCTAGTTTCTTATCTGGGGTTCATAGCTGTTTGTGTTAATCTTCACAGGAAGAGATTATCAAATAGCAAGGTGGCTCTGTGTGAGCCCTTTGCCCCCAAACTCCCAAAGCAATCTTTGATGAGTGAGGTGCAGCCAGTATCTGAAATGCTCACAAGCAGTTTTCCTACTGTCCAAGGACAACTTACTTGGCTTCCTTTATAATTAGTGTAATAATTGTCCAAAAATTCAAGGGAGTTCAGTTCAAAATTTTACTTAAGATTCTTTGATCATATTTCCTCTAATTACTTAAATTTGTTGCCCTCCCATGGTCCCCTCTCTATTTCTTTATCACTATTATTTGTCTAGGCCTTTTGTTTATTAGGGTCCATAGGAGGGACCTGGAGAAATAGGGAAGTGGTTTGGAGCACTTTTTGCTCTTACAGAGGACAGAGGACTGGCGTTTGGTGCCCAGCATCCATGTTAGGTGGCTCACAACTGTCTGTAACTCCAGTCATAGGGGCATCCAGTGTACTCTTCTGGCCTCTGCAGGTACTCTCACCCATGGGTGTGCATGTCTACCCACCACCAACATGACTGAAAGTAAAGTAAAACCTAAAAAGATTCTTTATGCAATGTTTGTCTTTCTGAATCTGACTTATTTTGCTTTATGTTGAGATCTCCGGTTCCATCTACCTTCCTCACAATGATAGGATACTGAAGAGGATGTAGAAATAAACCTATACAGCTACACCTGATATAGGAGAAGAACAAGGAAGGAGGTTCCAGAGGCATCAAATTGGCATAGGAAAACCAATAGTAGAGGAAGGATAGAAACGCCTCTCTCTTAGTAACTGTTCAACTACTGTGAAGAGACACCATGGCCAAGGCAACTTAGTTTCAGAGAGTGAGTCCATGATCATTATAGTGGGGAGCGTGGCAGCCATGGCACTGGAGCAGTAGCTGAGAGTTTACATCCAATCCTCAAGGCTAGCTGGGCATGGTGTGGGCTTTAGGAACTTCAAAGCACACTCCAGTGACAAACCTCCTCCAACAATTGCACATCTTCTATTTCTTCCCAAACAGTTTCACCAGCTGTGAAAGAAGGTTTCAAATATATGAGCCTACAGGGGCTGCTTTCATTAAAACCATAAAATTCTCCGACAATGGACTATGGGCTACATACAACAAAACAGAACATGTCTCTCTTTCTGTCTCATCCCGGCTCCCGTTGCCTCTCTATCTCTCTCTGTCTCTCTCTGTCTCTCCCTCACTCTCTGTCTCTGTCTCTGTCTCTCTCCCCCTCTCTTTCTCTCTCTCACACACACAAACACTACACCTCCCAAAATAACTCAGAAAGCACTTTGTAAGTAGTCTATGTGGGTGTGGGGGAGTTTTTGGCCCTTTCCAGTTCTCTGCACCATTTCCTTGGGAGAATAAATTAGCCTTACCAAGCCACAGGGAGAAAGTCCGTAAGCAGGGTTCAGCTATGGGCACAGCTTTTGTTTCTGCCTCTAGATTTATACCTTGTATTTCTGCCCTGACTTCCCTTTATGATGGAGTGCAAGTTGTAATACAAAATAAACCTTTTACCCCAGGTTGTTTTTGATCATAATGTTTTTGTTTTTGTTTTTAATCACAACATAAAGCAATCACGGACAGAACTACTGAAGGAGAATTAAAGTCAATGATTTCACTTGAGTTTCTGATAAGTAACCTTTGCCCTAAGTGACAATAAAATCACCATTTGCATTTTTTTTCTGGATAATGTTTCATGGCAAATGAGTTCAAAGCTGAAAGTGGGTACATCCATGGCATTATGCCAACTGCAAAGTTAGAGAGTGTACCTGACTCTTGAAATTGTGGGTGGGGCATGGTCATGTTTTCCTTGGCTGCAAACTCAACCCCACCCCTTTCCCCGTACTTAAGCACTGCAGGCTCGCCTTTTGAGTCACAGCAGAACAGAAAAGAAAGCTTATCAGGCTCAGTCTTGCAAGGTGCACACACGCAGCTGCTAATAAACCACAAAGAGAGACTTGATTAAAGAAGCAGCAATGGACCTGATTCCAAACTTCTCCATGGAAACATGGATGCTCCTGGCTACGAGCCTGGTGCTTCTCTACCTGTGAGTAAACTGTCCAGGCTCCTCTCCTCAGTGATCAGGACTTAGGAAGGTGAATTGGATGATTCTTTCTTCTCCCTGTTTTTCTCCAAAGAGAAAATGATGGGAATGTTGCTTGAGTGTGGCATGCTACAAAGACCTAAGGTGTTGCTGTTGGTCTTAAGCAAATCCTTCTAAGGGGATAAATGCACATTACTTTTCTACTCAGCTCCACTTTCTGTAGATACGAGGATTGAGAGACATCAGTTAGACTTGGGTATCCTCTGATTGAGTCTCAGGTTTTCCCCAGATTAACCAACTGGATGACACATAGTTGGTCCCTGTGTATTTTGGGGGGTCTTTTCTGCAAGGTCTCAGGATTGTGGGGATAGGAGGATCTTTTTTTGCCATCTTCACCTGTGTCCTCTGATGTAGGAGATGTATAGTGTTGTCCCATGTGCACATGGATCTTTTCTACTCCCTTCTCTCTCCTCTAGGACTGTTTATACAATGTCCTTAGTGTGTATCCAAGGCCATATGATAGGCTCAGATTATTCATTGTTTTGCTACCCTTCCCTGGAGCTCTCAGTCTTCCCCAAATTCAGTCTTTCTGTCTATAATACGCTGAGCTATTTGCTTCTAAGTGATGAGTCTTTTTAAAATTACATTTGGTCCTTTTATTTTATATTAGTGTTTAGCTTGCATGTATGTATGTGCACATACATGTGTATTTGTTACCTGTAGAGGTTGGAAGAGGACATCTTGTTCCTCAGAACTGGAGTTACACACAGATATCTGGCTGTGAGCCACTTTATAAATTCTGGAATTGAACCCAGGTCCTCCACAAGAGCAACAAGTGTTCTTAACCACTAAACATCTCTCTAGTACTATTAAATGATGAATCTTTAGAGTAAAGAAGACCTGACTTTGGTTCTTTCCCTTCACCATTTCCCTTCAAGTCCATAGCATCAGTATAAGGAGTTACTCCTCCCTGGCTATGAGATCTACTGGTCTCCTCAAATATCACACATTCTAAAACAAATAGGATGTTAGATATATACCCTTTAAGTGCTTCTGGGAGCATCAGTAAGAACATCCATCTCAGAATTTCCTTCTGATGAAAGGATTCCTGTGAGGTCAGGAGAGAGGTTACCCTGAGTTCCAGAATTCAAAGCATATGTGGCCACTATCCCCAACTCATTCTACTGCAATTGTTCTTAGCTTGTGGGTTGTGACCTTCTTTAGGTCAAATGAATGTTTTTCAGGGATCGAATATCAGTTATCCTGTTTATCTGATATTTACATTATAATTTATAGCCATAGCAAAATTATGGTTATGAAGTAGCAACAAAATAATGTTATGGTTGTCGGGTCACCATCTCAGGAGGAACTGTATTAAAGGATCACTTTATTAGGAAGATGAGAACCACTGTTCTCTCTCTCTCTCTCTCTCTCTCTCTCTCTCTCTCTCTCTCTGTCTCTCTCTCCTCTGTCTCTCTGTGCCTATGAGTCTGTGGGTAGTAGATGCTCCCTCACATCTAACTTCTGTCATCATTTTCTTCAAAGGAAATGTAGAAACTCATAGTGATGTGAACTTGAAAAATTCAGAGATAACTTTACTTTAAAGGAATAGGCATTTAAAGTATTGTGGCAACATCTTTTCCATCTGATATTTTGCAACTAACTGAAAATTTTCATTTCCTTCTATTCAGCCCTAGAATTTCTTTGAGGTAATCCTAGGATCTTCCTTCAAAGAGTTAAAGTGGGACTGTTATTTTCAATATTTGTGAGAACTGATGTATTTACAGCAACTTCATTTGTTTATAATAGTGTCAGGAATAGGAACCTAGTGCATAAATAAATACATGGCAAAGATTGCACATTTGCTTTGAAATAAACTTGCTTATCAGGTTTAAAAAAATTCATCAGTGTTTGATATACCTGTCTGTCCAGTCATGCAAATACCTTAGTGTAGGCGGATAAGGAAGAGGATGAGTCAGTGATGAAATAAAATACTTTCAGGTATTAGTTAGGAGGAAGTGGTGAATATGCCTCTTCTCTTAAGAGAGAACACTTAAATACACTTGTGGGGTGTGGCTCTTACTGAAGATCACTAGAAGATCAATAGAAGAATAGTTGATTAGCATCTAATCAATTTCCTAAATAAAAACAAGTGAAAAAATGATATAGAAAACTCAGCTTAGATTTCACATGAACATTCAAACTCAATTTTCCAAACATTTATTAATAATTAATGATAAACTTTAGGAATTAGACCCTCCCAAATTTTACTTACTCTTTAAGATAATCATTGTGGTTTTTGAGAGTCTCACAGAGAACTCCAGAGAAGTGAAGACCAAAAATAATTATTACTGTTGGAGTTTTTGTTGTTATTTGTTGCCTGTATGTTGTTTCCTCTTTTGAATTTTATAGTGTCTGTATTCATGACAGATGAGCCACTATAACATACAACAGCAATCCCAATGTACTGGTTTTTCTCTTTCACTTCATAGATATGGAACTTATTCACATGGAATTTTTAAAAAGTTGGGAATTCCTGGGCCCAAACCTCTGCCTTTCTTGGGGTCAGTTCTTGCTTACAGGAAGGTGAGTGTTCAATGGGCTCTCTATCTTTCCCCTTGTGCTTGCCAAGACTGGCTTAGTTCCATCAATAAAAAGATAAAATCTTGAGTAGAACTGAGGATGCATTTAAAAATTCACATTTAGCTTCCATCTGAAGCAAGATCAGCTTCTCAAAGGCCTTGATGTTAGTCTTTGGAGAATCTGGTTTGGCATAGTTGGTCAATTCAAACCTCTGTCATATCAACACTCATGGTATACATCCAAAGAATGCTCAATTGTACCACAAGAACATGCTGAGGTCTTGATGTTCAGACTTGTGATCCTTGAAAGGAAATGTTCTTTTTCTCCATTGTAGATTCTAGCAAGGGAAAGCCATGGTTCTAAAATTTTTGTTGGCATAATCAAAATATAACTGAAACTTAGCAGACATTTTCTTTTTAAGTTTTAGGAACTCAGAGCAAGTATTTAATCTCCAATGTTATATGTGGAGGAGAAAATATTTTCATTTGATGTGTTCTGTGTAGAGGAGGCAACTCCCTATTTTCTTATGTTGCCAGGGAGCCATTAAGTCAAATTCTCTTCACTATTTTTTAAAATATTTTTATGCATATGAGTATTTCATGTGCTTATACGTGTGTATATGAGTGCTGGATGCCCACAAAGTAGTCTCCCTAGAGCTAACATTGCAGACAGCTGCCATATGGGTGCTAGGAACTGAACTCTGGTGCTCTGATACAGCAGGTAATGCTCTTAACCACTGTGCCATCTCTGCAGTCTCCTCTTTGTCATCCTTGTTCAGTTACTCTCTCACTCAGTAACTTGCCTGAGATTAAAGACCCTAAATTAAAAGAGACTCCTGACATCTTCAGTGTCATGATACTATTAGTCTTCTAAGCAAGTGGTCACAAAACAAATAAAAAAGATGGTGAATGAGGAGTTAAATGGACCTCACTGACATTCCCTTAGTTTCCATTTCTTCTTTATGTCTATGGAAGGAACAATTCAGGGCGCTTGAGAATTTTTGTGACAGTATGTAGAGAGGCAAAACCTTTAGAAACATGTTGTTAACTGTTATCCACAGTGAAGAGTAAATGGCCAAGCATGTACAACGGGATTAGCAATTATTCATAACCAAGGCTGAGTTTTGTGCATTTGCAAGAAATGTGGGAGAAAATGTGGGAATCTTTAATATTCCTATTTCAAATACCTCTAGCATTTAACTCCTTTCCACTCAGAAAGCTGTGAATAAGAATGTCCCTCTCAGTGCTACTGAGGGATAGTAATCATTTGTCCCCCAACTAGAGGTAAGGACAGTATATTTAACATACTTACAGATTTTCATTTTCTTTCTCTTTCCAGGGTTTCTGGGAATTTGACATACAATGTCATAAAAAATATGGGAAAATGTGGGGGTAAGCATTCTGTCAGTTTCTACTAGGAAGATGTGAAATGTTGACAAAAGCCCAAAGGATTTTGAGTGTTAGCTATCTATTATGAAGATTTTTGGGGGATTTTTCTTCCAAAGGTCCCATATGTCTCACATACTGAATTTGACTGAGAAAGTTGCATATTTTGACTTTTTTCTCCAAGACTTGCTGGTTCAGGGAATAGTTCACCCGAGTTTCAATCTGATGTCTAAATGATCCACTATTTTATACTTAAATTACTCACTTTCAGTTTTCAATTCACTTAATATCCTTTTTGGTAATCTGATATTTTGACCATGCAAAAATTATCAAAAGCAGTATGTGGGCAATATCATGTATACACCATCCAGTTTTAGCAAATGTTCTAATTTAGTTTTGACTATGGTCTCTTTGTGGAGCTATTTTTCATTTGCCTCTTTCCTGAATGATCTATATTATACTTCATTTCATGAGACACCAGTGGCCTGTGATCAGAATCCCTGACTTGCAACAGGTGATCATGTTGCAGCATGTTGTATAACTAAGATGGTAGTTATATAACATATGGATTGGATCATATTCTGGGTTCCTGGGCGTGCTTCCAACTATCAAGTTCAGTTGATTGTGTTTAATCCTCTTTGCTTTGCCATTGCAGGTTTTATGAGGGTCGAAACCCTATTTTGGCTATCACGGATCCAGATATGATCAAAACAGTGCTGGTGAAAGAATGTTATTCTACCTTCACAAATCGGCGGGTAGGCATCTATTTAAAATGTCTTAATCTATTTGTTTATATATTAAGGTCTCTTTGCATGCATGGGGTATATGAACACATGTGCCTACACACATCCTACACACATATGGAAGCTGGAGGAGGACATTGGGTGTTCTGTTCTTTCCTCCTTATTCCCTTCAGATAGAGTGTCTCATTGAACCTGGAGCTAGGCTGTCAATCAGAAAGCACTGACTATTCTGTTTCTGCCCCTCACAGAGCTAGGGTTAAAGTTGCATGGGGCCATATTCAGCTGTTTAAGTATTTGTTTGATATTCAAAGTCAGATCCTTATGTGTACACAGCAAGCACTCTTTCCTACTAAGTCATCTCTCCATTTATATCTTCGTTATTTATTTATTTATTTATTTTTGAGACAGGGGTTTTCTGTGTAACTGCTCTGGCTTCCTGGAACTTGCTTTGTAGACCAGGCTGGCATCAAACTCACAGAAATCTGCCTTCCCCTGTCTCTCAAGAAGTGGGATTAAAGGCATGCACCACCACATCCTGGCAATATGCTACTTTTTATAATGAAATAATTATAATTTCATAGGACATTGGCTCAAATGTCTAACTGTGATCCATTTGTTCCTCATCTTGATTGTCTCAATGCTTTACATAACTGTAAATTTAGTATGTTTCTGTGACAGAAAATTTATATAACCCATATATTTTTTTCAGTACCAATTTTACATGTCCTTATTTTGTAGTGTGTGTGCACACAGGTATGCAACTCCATGCATATTTAGTTGTGTATCTATGTATAACCAGCAGCCGAGATACAGAAATTTTTGTTTGTCACAAGGTTTTCATATC